TTTTTTTTTTTGAAGATTTGTTATGCCTTAAGCTCTAAATTTTGTTCCATTATTTGAAGTCTCTAATGAGTTGTGCGCTGTTTTTGTACAAAGTGAATGTATTTCTGTTATCATTTTTACAGTCTTATGTGTTCTTTTGCAAAAATTATCTATTTCTGTTTTATTCAGGTTGTTTTTTGACTCTGAATAAACGTTATTTTTCTCTTTTTCAAACACAAATTTGTTCTTCTTTTTTTAAAGCACACTTAACACACGAAAACAGCGTGAGGGTGGGAGAATTAATTGGCTGAGCGATAGCAAAGCCTGTTACTCAGGTGGGGTTGAAAAATTTTTCCTGTCTGCGTGCGTGCGTGCGTGTGTGTTTGTCCGCGCTACTCCTCCTGAACGGCTCGGCCGATCTCGGTTAGATTTTGCACACTTTTTGGGTATGTTCTTGGCTCAGCACACGCGAAATCTCACTATCCTAGCTCGACTGGTTCGGTTTTTATGGCCGAAAAACACCTAAAAAACGGCGAAAAATCGAGTTTTCTGCAGGCAGATCACTTCTGTCTTGAGGAAAGGGGGGTCTGGGAGGCGGAGCCCCCCAGCCTCGACAAGTCAAAAAGTCAGGCCAATGCAGCCCTAGGCACGAAATCAAATGCTGTTTTGACCTTCAATCACGCAAATTGGTATGCGGATGCCTGGAAAAGAAACCTAGCCTGCTGAAGGCAGGCAAGCGCCGCAGGCCAAGGTAGGTGTAACGCCAGGCGTGGATTGTCGTAACTGGCGCAGCATCGCGAAGCCTGTTACGACAAGACACGGTCTGGCGTACACCTACCTTGTAATAAATACACTAATGTCTGCTTAGGAAACTTACAAATGACATCATTTTGACGTTTGTGGAATGATTTATGAGGAATGATGTCAACCGGACGTCAAACACAGTCAAACGAATGTCACGGAAAAATTAATGCAGTTTAACAGGCTAATAATTGTTCGGACTAGGAAAATGTTGGCTGATTGACCAATACGAAGTGCTGGAGTCAAAGTAGAGGTTTTCAATGCAAAGTCAAAAAAATGTCATTTCTAGGTCAAGACTCGGCCGTGACTTTTTGTTGATCATATTGACATCACTGTGACGTCATTGCGACTTTTCTTCCTCCTTGGGACTGGATACTGGGAGTCTCCATAACGGGTATACTTTGCTGGTATGCATGACGTGTAGATGGGGCAACCGATTCCACAGGTAGCACTGCAGAAGAACTTGAGTTCAGGTCTAGTTCGGTTGATGTAGTTAGTGGCTGACTGTAAACAAACAAGGCACAGAAGACTAAAGATGCTGGTAAAAGAAACAAATTAGAAGTATTGATTTAATTGCAGCAATAAGGTACTTCATCCAGCACGAGTAATAGGTTAAGGTTGAGTACCAAATACAAACGCTAGCCGAAAGTTTGCATTTGAGCAGTTCAAGAAAATTGAGGGTTGGAAGGGCTAGCAACTCTCTGAGGGTGGGGGTGGATCCAGATCGATAAGTTTTCAAGATACATTTGAAGTAAAAATCCGTACTCACAACAAACAACAACCAACCAGCTGATGGGGTGGGTCGGTCGGGTGTAGAGTGGGAGTGGGGGATGGGAGTGTTCGCATTTGAGGAGCAGGGCGACAACGTGATGCGGGCTAAAAACAAAAATCCTCCCGTGTTAGGGGCAAATCGGCAACGGTGCTATTTACCGATATTTGACGTATTTTTGATAGAATAATGCATATAAAATGAAAGGAGGCGTATATGAAACAAAATTTTTTCATAACAAGTTTGTTTAGAACCAATGTAGACCTTTTCAAATTTTGTCAAGCCTTTTTGCTTGTGGGTTGGTGGAATCGGGTTGTCGTCTGCTCAAGTAAATACAAACAATCACTGGCTGTTATTTTGTTTACTAAATTTTGTCAACATCGTCTGCCTGTTTGTATACAAACTTTGGTGAACATGGTCTGCATGTTTGTATCCAAGCTTTTGTAAACATCTCCTGTCTAACTTGAGCCACACGGCTCCGAGGCCGAGGCCAACACATTAGAAGTCTCTCTCTCTTGTCTCAGTCAGTTGTCAAAGCTTGTTTTTTAGTCATCATGAAGAGTTGAAAATCCAATGCCTACTTGCATTTGATTCCAAATTAAGATTTTGTGATCGACTTATCTTCAGCCTCGAAAATCAGTAAGTTTTGCGGTCACTGTCGTTCGTTGTGTTACTCTAGACACTGCAAATGAAATTATATCATGTTTTATTTCTCAACAGTTAACTGTGAAATGAATGACCCTCATGATGTTGATCCTGATGATCCTAGAATTGGAGAAGACTATCCCGCCATGGACGAGCTCCGGGCTGAATACAATGGAGAGCGTCGCCAACAGAATTATTTATTGAAACTCAGACGTAGAAATTTGAGGGATACCACTAACCCCTTTAATGTCTCACATACTGCTTTTATAAAGAAGTACCGGCTGTCACAGGACCTGGTTTTCAGTGTTCTCGATTTAATTCGGCCTTTCATGAGGCGCTGTAACAGCCCTCTTGCTGTACCTCTTGAGCTAAAGGTGTGTAGACACTATTTCATGATGCGACTCACTAGGGATGTTCTATAGTTACTCCTATTGGTTTTTGTTACAGCTCCTTGAAGTCCTCAGCTTTTATGCAACAGGAACATACCAGAGGCCCACTGGTTCTAACTTTGATTGTCCCATAGGACAATCCACTCTCAGCGGCTACATTGATGAAGTGACTGATGCTCTTAACGAAGATGAGGTCCTGTCGCGAGTGATGAGGTTTCCCTCCAATGACCGGGAAGTGAATAATTGCATTGACAGGTGAGCAATGTCTTAACGGTTGTTCAATGAGAAATGCACCCGAGGTGTTAACTAGTCTGTCTCCCATTATTTTGGTCAGAAACCGGCGCATGGGTGGAAAAGTGAATGAGGTCGTTGGGTATACCGATGGGTCCCTGTTTAAAATCAGGAAACCTAAAGTAGAAGAAAACAGGCAGGCTTTCATTGGAAGGAAAAATTATCCATGTATTAATGCCCAGATTGTAGGGACCATTGCAAGTTTTTGTTCCATTCAAGCTAACTCCAAAGTGAGGAAAGTTTTATTTTGTTCATTTTTCAGACCTGTGACCGAACTCTCTACATCATGAATGTGTTGGCAAGATATCCAGGGTCAACTGCCGACTCATTCATTTTTGAGGGGAGTGCTCTGCGCCGCAGGATGATTGAAGTAAATGCCAGGCGCCAGAAAGGGGGCCAGCCTCGACATGTTTAAAAGTGACAAGGGTCAAGATCGTGTTATCTGAAGATAAAACAACTCTATTTAGAATGCATTCAACAAGTTAAACGAGGTAGGTTTACGCCAGACCGCGTCTTGTCGTAACAGGCTTCGCGATGTCTCGCTGCCTGTTCCTCCAATCCACGCCTGGCGTACCTACCTTGGCCTGCGGCGCTAGCCTGCTTGCGGCAGGCGATGGCTTGTCCATTGTTGGTTATTTTTTAACTTGTTGAATGCTGGGGGGCTCCGCCTCCCAGACCCCCCTACATTCTAAATAGAGTTGTTTTATCTACAGATAACACGATCTTGACCCTTGTCACTTTTTAACTTGTCGAGGCTGGGGGGCTCCCCCTCCCCGCCCCTCCCCCCCCTCAGACCTCCCTTTCTCCAAGACAGAAGTGATCTATCTGCGGAAAACTCGATTTTTCGCCGTTTTGTAGATGTTTTTTGGCTATAAAAACTGAACCATTTGAGCTAGGGTAGTGAAATTTCGCGTGTGCCGAGCCAAGGACATACCCAAAAAGTGTGCAAAATCTCACCGAGATCGAGATCGGCCGAGCCGTTTAGGAGGAGTAGTGCGGACACACAGACACACAGACAGACAGAAAAAACTTTTCAACCCCACTGGAGTAACAGGCTTCGCTATCGCTCAGCCAAAAATAACCGACAATGGACAAGCCATTGCCTGCCGCAGGCAGGCTAGCGCCGCAGGCCAAGGTAGGTACGCCAGGCGTGGATTGGAGGAACAGGCAGCGAGACATCGCGAAGCCTGTTACGACAAGACGCGGTCTGGCGTAAACCTACCTTGTCTAATTGTTACTGTAATATTTTAGGGTCCTCAATGATGGGCGAGTTCCACACTATCATTACGTGAAAGTGTGCAAGTTTGTGAATGCAGGGAGTGTACTTCACAACCTGTGTGTTCTCAGTAATACACCCCTTCTGATTGAAGGCAACGTCCAACTGGGCAACTACAATGTAAATGATGAGCCACCAGAGGAATTTGATGATGATGATGATCCAGAAGACCCTGATGTTCCCATTGGAAGAAGAAACGCTGCTGCTGTTATTGCCCGTGGTCATCGAATACGTCGGGAAGTAGTTCAGGAGCTGCAACAGCGTCTCCATCAGTGATTTTTAGTTAAGGCGTTGCATTGACTGATATGGCACTTGACAGTCAATTTTCTGGCACTTGTCAGTCAATTTTCTATTACCTAATTCTAGACTAAAATCGTTACTTATTAAAGACTGCCTTAATTTAGCCTACTGTATTGCTTAAAATGTTCTTCATTGTGCTAGTCAGAAGAAGACACACCCCTCTGCGCCGGCCCGGTGCAGCGAGCACGCGAGGACGAGGCCCCGCCAGCCAAGCGGCCCCAGCTGGCAGCAAGACCGGCAATCTGGTCTGTGAGTGCAGAGGCCTCATGGCCACGCGTCCTCCACTGTCCCAAAAGTAAAGTCAAATCGACGAATTTCTCTTAGTCGATTTTACTAACTAAATAGTTTAGTCGATTTGACAAAGAGATGGTCGATTAGGTCGATTTTTTTCACGTAGGTGAATTTTTCATACCAACTACAAGGTAGGTTTACGCCAGACCGCGTCTTGTCGTAACGGGCTTCGCGATGTCTCGCTGCCTGTTCCTCCAATCCGCGCCTGGCGTACCTACCTTGGCCTGCGGCGCTAGCGTGCCTTCGGCAGGCAATGGCTGGTCCATCGTCGGTTACTTCTAACTTGAGGCATGCTGGGGGGCTCCGCCCCCAGACCCCCCTTCATTCAAAATCCCTTGTAACTTTTTAACTTGTCGGAGCTGGGGGGCTCCGCCCCCTAGACCCCCCTTCTTCCAGACAGAAGTGATCTGCCTGCAGAAAACTCGATTTTTCGCCGTTTTTTAGGTGTTTTTTTCGGCTCTAAAAACTGAACCAGTTGAGCTAGGATGATGAAATTTCGCGTGTGCCGAGCCAAGGACATACCCAAGAAGTGTGCGAAATCTCACCGAGATCGGCCGAGCCGTTCAGGAGGAGTAGTGCGGACACACAGACAGACGGACAAACAGACAGACAGACAGGAAAAACTTTCCAACCCCAATGGAGTAATAGGCTTCGCTATCGCTCAGCCAATGACGTTACTTGCGCCGTCAGCACTCCGTGCGCTCAGGTGGCCGGTCGGTCATTTGTCAATCATTGTGGCAACCTTGACCCACAAGGTAGGTTTACGCCAGACCGCGTCTTGTCGTAACAGGCTTCGCGATATCTCGCGGCCTGTTCCTCCAATCCGCGCCTGGCATACCTACCTTGGCCTGCGGCGCTAGCCTGCCTTCGGCAGGCATTGGCTTGTCCATCGTCGGTTACTTCTTATGTGTTGCATGCTGGGGGAGTTGCTTCATCTACAGATAACACGATCTTGACCCTTGTAGCTTTTTAACTTGTCGGGGCTGGGGGACCCCCCCTTCTTCTAGCCAGAGGTGATCTACCTGCAGATTTCTGCGTGTGCCGAGCCAAGGACATACCCAAGAAGTGTGCTAAATCTCACCGAGATCGGCCGAGCCGTTCAGGAGGAGTATTGCGGACACACACACAGACGGACAGACAGACAGACAGACAGACAGGAAAAACTTTTCAACCCCACTGGAGTAACAGGCTTCGCTATCGCTCAGCCAACAACCATGGACGCAGACGTGTCCGCGTTGCTGACAGCCTGGGGACTGGACCAGCTGATCGCTACGTTTGGTGGTAAGCGTGAATTTTAGTGCTTCTTTCTACTTCGTTTTTGTAATGCCTCACTGCACGCATGAATCAAAATTAGTATGGATTCGTTTTTCTATTGCTTTGTACGACCGGAACGTTAAATTTGAATTTCGCTCCTTTACCTGTCTCCCAACTGCCGAAGCATGGTTCGCGTGATTCTCGTCACTTGATTAAGCCGTTCTTGTGCTTTAGCCGTCGCATCAGATCACATTGCCTTGTTTTAAGTCAGATTCATCCAGTTTATTCCCCTTTTGGGCTTATCGCGATGGTTTCCATAACATCGCGTCCGTAGAGATTTTTATGTCGCGTTGTTGGCCTTACTCCCGTCCCCGTCTCGCTCGGGTGGAAGGAGAGGTTACACTGTGGCAAAAAGCTACGGAAAATTCTGTAAACAGCTTGTGGTAATTCTCCGTAGGCCCCTTATCAATATTCTCCGTAGGCTCTTACAGTATTTTCTGTAGGACCGCACAGTATTCTCCGCAGGACCGAACAGTGATCTCCGTAGGACTATACAGTCTTCTAGGTCCTACGGAGAAGACTGTGCGGATTTACAGAGAATACTGTGCGGCCCTACGGAGAATACTGTAAGAGCCTACGGAGAATATTGATAAGAGGGCTACGGAGAATCCTGGCAAAAAAATTAACAGGATTTTCCGTACCTTTTTGCCACAGTGTATGGTTTCTTGTCTGAGAACAAGTTTGAGTTTCAGTTCTTTGACTGGCTATCTGTCTGCAGCCGTAGTTTCCATAGTTTTACCACGAGTTTAATGTGTGATCTGTGTGAGGGTCGAATTCGTTTCAGAATGGTGTCAAATCGTTGGTCAAAGTAAGCGTCAAGGGAAGGGAAAGAAAGTTTTGCGTGGATCAGCCGGCCGGTGTCAAAGACGGTCAATGACCCATCTAGAGACCAAAACAATGATTGGCCCAACTATGTAGGCGCTAGGATTTTCCTATTTCCCGAACCTAGCCATACTTTTGTTTGAGCTGCTTTCTATTGTGTTTCACACCCACCTGCTAATAGGTTTCATTGCCTTGTGTCCGTGTTTAATAATCAAGTTTATATGGAGCTTAGCTGTGCCAGTCCTGTATTTTGATCCACTTTGTCTCAAAATTATGTTGTTGAATTAGCCAAAGCAATCCTGCTCTGGCTTTGATGAAATGTTGGTGGTTAAATAACCTAGACTCTTTCTTGTGGTTACACGACTAACCTTTTTATTGTTTACAGATCAAGACATATCGCTGGAGGTTTTGAGGACCATCGATGGGCAGCTTCTAAAGGAACTGATACCTTCCATTGGCCTACGGTCTACTTTCATCTCGAAGAGAGAACAGGTAGCGTATGTCTTGCAGTTGGGCATTTCTGTTGCGTAACTTATGGTGTCATAGTCCCTAATTTTTTGTGTTTTCTGTGTTACAGTTCATGAAAAGCAGGGAACAGAGTCATTTGATGGTGAGTTTACTTTTTTCAACCTTTAAAATCTTCATTGAAACCATTCAATATTTACCTGTTAATTTTTATTTTTTTTACTTTTGTTTAGGAACCAGAATCTACACCTGGCGGGTCAGTTGAGGTTCTAGCGATACATCACATTTCATCAAACACTACTGTAGTCGGACCAAGTTCACCGCTTATTCCAACGCCAACTCCTTCCACTTCAGTTCCAACATGCTCTTCAGTTTCAACGCGCTTTTCAGTTCCAACGCGCTCTTCAGATCCAACTTCCAGTTCAGTTCCAACTTCCAGTTCAGTTGCAACCAGCCCAGTGGCATCAAGTTCTAAATCTGTAAGTTTTTACTCTCCAATATTATTATGTGAGGGGGCGGAAGTGGAAGTGAAGACTGATGAAATCCGAAGTGAAAGTCAAGACACATCCACTTTTCTTGACGCTACAATGCCGATATTTGTTGATACTCAGTCTCAAACTGATCAGTGCTTCCTGTTGTGTACATGTATCAAGTGCAAAGGTAATTTTTCCTCTCATGTCTTATGTCCAGCTCTGTTCATGGAGTGTTTCAAATAAATATTCTTTCCACAGATATAGTTCAAAAGTTTTCCACCTATATGTGTAAAGGCTATGGAGATGACTGTGTATACAGCAATGAAAATGTTAAAGTATGTTTGTTGTTTTGTAAACAGAGTCTCACCACAGTAGTTTATTGATTTCAAAATTGATTTTTATTGATTTTCATTATGTTATTTTTTAGGGAGCGAAAGACTTGAATGGAAGTGGCCTTACATTTAACACTTCCTTACAACAAGGAGACGACCAGGTACATAATTTTTGTTTTATCATCAGATTCTCTTTCATGACAAGAAATTAACTGTTTGCTAATTTTATCTTTATATTTTATTTCAGTTAATTCCCCTGTACAAAGGGTGTTCCACCAACATTTCTGTTACCTGTAAAGGAAAATTGAAAATCCTCGACAAAGACCCAAACTCAACCGATAGAGATTACGTTTATGCCATTATGGATGATCTGTTTGAACCAAGTGTCTTGGCTAATATGACGGCAGAAGGAAGAACTCCAGGGTCGACCAAAATGGATCCAAAGATTAAAGACACTATATTGAGTAAGTAACAGTCACTCTTTTTATATCACCTCTCCAATCATAGCTAATATGCTAATTAAAAAAATTTCTGTTGCAGTATACAGTACCTCCAGAATAAGTTCACGGGCGTTGACAAGTTAAGTGTTAATGAAAGTATTAATGCCAAATGTTATTGCGAGAGGAGGAAATTATGGGGGGAAAATTCGGAGCAGGTCAGAAAACCTTTGGTCAAAAATAAGAAGAAGCAGAAGGAAACTGAGTCTTCACTTGGCGATGGTGAAAGCAATGAAAATGCGAAGAAGGATAAGGGAAGTGATGGTGAAGCTTTGGACCAAAGATTCAAAGGCAGAAAGGGGGATAAGAATTGTGATGAGCAAAAACGTTTGAAAAGGCGCAGGAGCAAGAGCAAGTCTAAATCTAGTTCAAGCAAGAAGAAAGCTGTGCCACAGGTGCCCTATTCGCCCTCGCCTAAACAAATAAAAAAGAAAAAGGTAAAGAATGACTCCCATGACCATCCCACAAAAGGCAACAAGCGCCCTACATCAGTACAGGTGAGTTAGTTCCTGACAACGAAGAGAAACATTACTTCTCCAGGCTACAAAGATAAACTTTTAGGATTATTTTTAACACTTACCTCATGAAGTTTTGTTTGCAATTATTTAACTTGAGCTTACTTACACTACTTACTCTCAATTTAAACATAGTTAATGTTTTTTATTTAGGATATTCTGGATATCAACACCCAGGAGCAAACTGATTTTGAGCTTTCCCCAATTGCAAAAAAAAAAATAAAAAAGAAGACCCATGAACCAGGGGTAAGAAACTTTTAATACTTTTATTGTATACTTATTGTAATGTGATAGTCGTTCGAACAATTGCCTCTCTATAGGATTGGTTTAGCAGAAAACATGACAGTGCGTTTCAATTTCCCTTTCTATGCTCACATACAAGGTAAACTCAGGTTCATTTTTCACTTTGCAGTTCCCTGACAAGCAGAAAGATTTATCTTTGAAGTCAAAGCAGTCACATAAGACTGAGGTGAGAAAAATTACCTGGATGGTTCTTTAGTTTCAAAACATCAATCTTATTGTTCCAGACTCTATAACATTTAAACTGTTTTTGAAGTTAACATATGTCGTTAGTAAAAATTGTTTACGTTCTCATTTTCTTATAGTTCTGGAAAGGTATGGCATCATCGTCAACACCAAAACATCAGAAAACAGCCAGAGGTGAAAATAGTAAAAAGAAAGAGAAAGGACTAGGACAGGAGAGTGATGACAATGAAAGGAATCAGAATGGAACAGAATCAGAGGCGGATTACGAGGAAGAAGAGATTGAACATCAGGATGGTGAGGAGTCCAGTTGTGATGAAGAAACTGGTAGTGATACATCTTGAACAATTTGAACAGTGTCAAACTCTTTTCTGAATTTCTATTTTCTTTTGAGCAGTGTTAAACCTTTTTTTTTTTTAATATCTTTGTTTCTCATTTGATTTGTGAAAAAATGGCCATTGCAGTTAAACATATTTCTGTCGGAAGTGACAATAAGTTTACGCACTTCCAAATGCAAATTGTTAGTTTCCAGTGGCCATTTTATTTAGTACTGTGTTGTTTCTTTTAAGTTTTTGACTACGTATGTACCTGTGTTGATATATTTAACAGTCACTAGTGCAATATGTTTAATGTGAATTGTCCCAATTTGTTACAAATTACGCACTTGGATATTGTATTGTTAAGCATCGTTTGCAGCTTCTGTTGCTAACACTCCAAACTTAGAATCAAAGCAGCTCCAGTGCGAAATAAAAACAGATTCGTGACAATTATTGGCTGAGCGATAGCAAAGCCTGTTACTCCAGTGGGGTTGAAAAGTTTTTCCTGTCTGTCTGTCTGTCTGTCCGTCTGTCTGTGTGTCCGCACTACTCCTCCTGAACGGCTCGGCCGATCTCGGTGAGATTTTGCACACTTCTTGGGTATGTCCTTGGCTCGGCACACGCGAAATTTCACCATCCTAGCTCAAATGGTTCAGTTTTTATAGGCGAAAAACCCCAAAAAAACGGCAAAAAAAATAGAGTTTTCTGCAGATAGACCACTTCTGTCTTGGAAAAAGGGGGGGTCGGGGGGGCGGAGCCCCCCAGCCTCGACAAGTTAAAAAGTGACAAGGGTCAAGATCGTGTTATCTGTAGATAAAACAACTCTATTTACAATGTAGGGGGGTCTGGGGGGCGGAGCCCCCCAGCATTCAACAAGTTAAAAAATAACCGACAACGGACAAGCCATTGCCTGCCGCAGGCAGGCTAGCGCCGCAGGCCAAGGTAGGTACGCCAGGCGTGGATTGGAGGAACAGGCAGCGAGACATCGCGAAGCCTGTTACGACAAGACACGGTCTGGCGTAAACCTACCTTGTGCAAGTAAGTCATTTCATCTCAGATGGCATTTCTTGTGCGTGAAGGTCAGTGGACGTTTCAGCAGAACAGCAGCTTCATTCAGTACGAGGCACGGCCGCTCAGCTCACGGCAGCCAACCGTTGAGCAGCCTCAGTCTCGAGTCAGTTGGTGGATCAGTGGTTGTCAGTCCAGCTCAGTGGACGTGTCAGCAGAACGGCAGCTTCTTTCAGCACGAGACACGGCCGCTCAGCTCACGGCAGCCAAACGTTGAGCAGCCTCAGTCTCGAGTCAGTTGGTGGGTCAGTAGCTGTCAGTCCAGGTCAGTGGACGTGTCAGCAGAACGGCAGCTTCATTCAGCGCGAGGCACGGGCCCTCAGCTGGATGCAGCCAAACGTTGAGCAACCTCAGTATTGAGTCAGTAAGTGGGTCAGTAGCTGTCAGTCCAGCTCAGTGGACGTGTCAGCAGAACGGCAGCTTCATTCAGTACGAGGCACGGCCGCTCAGCTCACGGCAGCCAACCGTTGAGCAGCCTCAGTCTCGAGTCAGTTGGTGGATCAGTAGCTGTCAGTCCAGCTCAGTGGACGTGTCAGCCTCAGTATTGAGTCAGTAAGTGGGTCAGTAGCTGTCAGTCCAGCTCAGTGGACGTGTCAGCAGAACGGCAGCTTCTTTCAGCACGAGGCACGGCCGCTCAGCTAGAGGCAGCCGAACTTTGAGGAATATCAGTGTCGCGTCAACGTAAATATCAGTTTGTACTCAGTCATGGCATATCCTGCACGTTTCCGTCAGCGTGTGGTTAGCAAGAAGCAGCCTTTTTTCATCGGTCTTCCTCAGTTCTGGACCAGCTCTTTTCTGCCTTCAGTTCCACGACAGCTTTCGGTTGGTTTTCGGCAGTACGATTTCAGTGTGTATCAGTTGACTTGTAGCTTCGGTTCAGGTCTAGCCTCAGCTTTGTGCCAGTTTCGTTTCAGTGCAGTAACAGTTTTGCTCAGGTAACCGCAGCCCCGGTTCACCTATTATTTTCTCTAGGGGGCCGGCTCACGTCATAGCGTCGGCTCAAAAAAAAAAAGTCGGGCGGCATCGCAGGGCAATGAGGCTCCCTCAGCCTCTCATCTTGAAGCCCTGAGAATGAAAGGTTTTCTCAGCAAAAGCAACGCCAAAACAAGCCGTTTCTCCGCCAGCATGGGAAACCCACCTCGGAAGGGCGCGAAGAGGAAGCGCAGTCCAAATTCGGCGAAGTCATGGCGAGGATTTCTTGCCAACACACTCGCGGAACAGCACGACCGGCCGGTCCGCACGGGTCGGCGTGGGTCGGCACGGACAGGTGGCTGCGTCCGGCGCGCATCAGAGTCACTCCGGCGACGGCTGCGGGCTGAGCGGCGTGAGACTGAGGAGTTGGGCTTCTGTCCGCGTGGAGGCGCAGTTGTCGCCAGGGTGACGGAACGCGTCGTTGAAGGCGGAGCGCACGGTGCGCGGGAGATGCAAACAGCCCTTTTTGTTGCTCTGGCACGAAGTATCGTGACAATAGGGGCTTTTATGTGTTGCGTAGCCTTACAAATTGGGCTAAGAAAGGTGTCAGTTTTGCCAAAGTCAATGAACTTCTCAAACTTCTAAGTCCTATCTACCCAAATTTACCCCAATCATCTCGCACTCTTATTCAAACACAAAGGGACATTGAACTTTAAGTGAAAGGTGGTTTTGAACACTGCGAGAAAAGATCACGGTAAATCCTGTACAGGCAATACCGTCGTTTTTTTACAGGCAATACCGTACTTTTTTTACAGGCAGCACCGTACTTTTTGGCGAGCGATAGCGAGCCCTTGCCGTGTTTGGGCGCTCCAAAAAGTGACTGGTCGTGCGTCTGTCTGTCTGTAGCGTACACGCTCACGTTTCTCAGCATTTACAACACTAATAGTTCCCAAATTTTGCACCGAACATCTCCTAAAGCTCCCACAGGAGGAGTTTATCACGATTTATTCACGATTACTACCGTTTGAAATATTCAAAACATCTTTTTGAATTAGGTTCTTAGCGTGGTTAGGTTGGCAGCAGCATTTATAAATTTTTCATACTTGCGACCCCGGCTTTCAAATACGGGACTGGCAAAACATTGGCAATTAAAACAAAATAGGGAGCAGAAGGGCTTAGAAGTGAGTTCGATCATTGTTTTTCGATGTTCTATGATTGAAACCCCTCCAAAGAGTCAACACAGTGAAATACGGAAAATGAAAGTGACAATTATTACGCGTTTCGTGCGTCCGTCCGCCCCCTCCCTCGCTACAGAGGAAATGTTTAAGTCAGTAGAGTGTGTTTGGTAATTGCAAGAATGATTTGGTCTTTGCAAGCTTTGAGAGTGTATTTCCAGTTTTATTCTCAGACATTATACTTTTTTGGCTGAGCGATAGCGAAGCCCGTTACTCCAGTGTGGTTGAAAAGTTTTGTCTGTCTGTCTGTCTGTTTGTTTGTCTGTCTGTCTGCGTGTGTGTGTGCACTACTCCTCCTGAACGGCTTGGCCGATCTGGCTGAGATTTTGCAGGGTCATTAGGTATGTTCTTGGCTTGTCACACACCAAAATTCAGCTTTCTATCTCAATCCATTCGGTCATATTAGCCAAAAAACACTTAAAAAACGGCAGAAATAAGACAACTTTTTAGGTACTTTCAACTTTGTGTTAAGTTTCATATCGTTTCATATGTTTTTGAGGCTGCTGATGACGAAAAGAGAACCCGTTCGGTTCCCCGACCGAAAGTTGAATCCGATTGGTGTAGATTTTGATGACCAAATGCTATTTTTGAGGGGATCACGCCCATTTCCACGGTC